GGCCGATTAATCCTGATTAATTCGGTGCTCACGAGTATGCCAATGTTTCTTCTATCGTTCTTTGAGGTCCCAGTTGGGGTTAGGAAGAGACTGGACTTCTATAGATCGCGCTTCTTTTGGCAGGGTGATGAGCTTAAAAGAAAATATAGGCTTGCTAAATGGGACATCATCTGTAGACCGAAAGACCAAGGAGGTCTAGGTATTGAGAATCTAGAAGTTAAGAATAAATGCCTTCTTAGCAAGTGGCTGTGGAAGCTCTCATTGGAGAATGACGCTATGTGGGCTCAAATCCTTCGCAACAAGTACCTCCAGACAAAAACTTTGTCCCAGGTCACTGTTAGGCCGACCGATTCGCCTTTCTGGAAAGGCTTGATGAAAGTCAAACAGTCTTTGTTTAATAGGACGAAGTTTGTTATTGAAAACGGCACGAGTACACGTTTCTGGGAGGATACTTGGCTCGGCGAGACACCATTGGCCATCCAATATCCGTCGTTATACCGTATTTGTGCAACGACGTGAGGTGTTCGTTGCATCGGTCTTTCAAACGATCCCCCTTAATATTCAGTTCAGACGTACGCTAGCGGGCAATCGTTGGGAACAATGGCTCCATCTAGTTAGGAGATTGATGGAAGTCCAGCTTACACGACAACCCGATGAATTACGCTGGAAACCGACTAAATCTGGAGTATTCACGGTTAAATCAATGTATATTGATGTTATTAACTCACACTCCATTCCTACGTCCAAGCATGTTTGGAATGTCAAAGTTCCTTTGAAAATAAAAGTGTTTATGTGGTTTGTTCATAAACAAGTTATTTTAACGAAGGACAATCTCTTGAAGTGTAATTGGACAGGACCTACTAGATGTAGTTTCTGTGATCGGGATGAGACTATCAAACATCTCTTTTTTGATTGCCCGTTAGCCAAGGTACTTTGGCAGACGATCCACATTGCTTTTAGTATCACTCCACCGAATTCTGTTTATGTGTTATTTGGGACATGGCTTAATGGGATTGAGCCGAACTTAGCGAGACATATTCGGTTGGAGTTTGTGCTTTACTGTGGACTATCTGGACTTGCAGAAATGATTTGGTTTTTAACAGAATATCATGTATACATTTTTTGCAGGTCATATTCCGAACTACGGCACTGATCCGTTCGTGGTCGCTACTCACCCAGATGGAGGCCAGGGAGCATTTGGTTAATGGGTCTTTCCGATGGGAGATGGTAGCTCGGGATATTTTCAACCGGTTTGGATGGCGATCATGTAATAGGATAGCTTGATCTCCTATCTATTTTTAGCCAGCCGGTTGTGGCGTCTTTTCTAGGCTAGTTGGTGTTTCTAGCCCCTTTTTGGCTCTATGTGAGCTATTTATGCTTTATTTTTTGAGACCTTTGGAACCATGTGGACACTACTTTTTGGCTAATAAGAGGGCCGTATGCATCTTTCTGATGCAGAGGCCGGGGAGTCACCCATTTTCCAAAAAAAAAAATCCCATGACTAATGGAAAAGTAGCTGGCTACTACGTCCACTAAGCTAACTACCTGAAGATCCACTAACTATGTCGTGGTCGCACACAGAAAGTTGTGGGCTCATGCGACATTTATGTTATTTGCTTGGAAACATAAAATCTGGAACTCCCGAAGTGGAACCTAAATTATACTAGGAACGTAAAATCCACAATGAAACATATCCACCATGGAATGTAAAGGATCTTTGCACGGGATTACACTAATATTCATGTTTTTGGTTTGCCCTGCTGTCATCATCACAAGCGGTAAAATTGACAAATTTGACCTCGGGGCGAAATTATTTCATTAACTAAACTGTTTTTAAATATTTCACACTGTTGACCCTTTCGTGCAGCACCCGACAGCAAGGCGCTGCACTCTACTGTGAAGCTCCTTACAGACAGGCGCTACATGGCACTCTACTGTGAAGCTCCTTACAGACAGACGCTACATAGTGTACTGCAGCGCCTTGCTGTCGGGTGCTGCACAGGTGTAGCGCCTGAGTGATAGGCGCTGCACTGCGCTGCACAGTAGAGTGCGGCGCCTTGCTGTTGGGCGCTGCACATTAGGGGTCTGCTGGGTGAAATACTTCCAAAAACAGTTTAGTTTGTGAAATAGTTTCGCCCGGAGTTCAATTTATCCATTTTGCCATCACAAGCTGACTTGAGGCCTCCTTTGGTTCATAGGATAGGAAAATTATAGGAATAGGAAAGTCATAGGAAATGAGATGATATGCATCTCAAATCCTATGAGTAGGAATACGAAAGAAGATGTTCTTTGTTTCACATCATAGAATTTTTTCCATTGAGTCTAGGCTAATGTTTATTTTCCTATGAAATTTGAAGGATAGGAAGAATTTCTCCATAGAAATATGATTCCATTTTTACAAATCAAAGGGCTCCATAGGAATTTTTCCTACAAAAATCCTACCCTATGAAATTCCTATAAACCAAAGGAGGCCTGAAAGTTTTTTTCAAGAGTACATCAATGGCGTGCCATGGCTTTATAGAAGAGAGAAGTATAATTACAAGAATGCCGTCCAAGGTGCGAACACTAAGGACGGGGTACAACACACGTGACACCAACGCCTCTCTATCCTAGGTTAACTTCTCACAAAATGTTGTAGCCCTCTGACGCCCACACCAGTCATCCTCCACTCTGCGATCTCGTCCAGGATCATGGATGGGAGGTCGAATGCTGTCTTCTACTCGTTGATCTTGTTGAAGACCCTAGCACTCCTCTACTTCCAAAGGGCCCACGCTACCGCCGTCACCAGCGTATCGAATCCTCTACGGTCAGCTCCACTGAATCTCGTACGCACTGCGAGCCACCACTCCTTGAACACGGCTGTCCCCACTAGTTCATGCACGTTGATCTCGAGAAGACCGAACACCCTGTGCCACACCTCCTGTGCATAGGTGCACTTCGCCAGGATGTGGTCCACATTATCCTTCGCCTACATGCATGTGTAGCAGGCCGACGGCTGGTCCTGTAGCCCATGCCTGGCTCCTATCTGACGTCCACAGCCTGTTTTGCAGGGCTAGCCAGACGAACAACTTACATTTAAGTGGTGCCTAGCTTCTCCAGGTGCATTTCGCAGTGGGTGATCTAGTCATCTCGGAACAGAGGTAGTGAGAGACCGACTTGGCCGTGTAGGAGCCCGTCGTCGAGAGCGGTCAAGTGAAATTGTCAGGTCGATCCGGATCTCGCTCCACCGTGTTAATTGAATGGCAAAGGTGCATGTACGGGATTAGGGCGGTGAAGGAGGTGTTCGGCTCAAAGTCTTGAGTCCAGCTGTCGTCCTCGAGTGCCTGGCGCACGATGCGTCTGTTAGCCGTCCTAGTCGGGACCGTGGCGACCAATAATGGTGGAATCTCCGCTGCAGCCACACCGTAAATCCACTTGTCCCTCCAAAAGAGCACCCGCTCACCCGATCCCACTCTGATGTTGACCAACGTGTCAAATACCTCTCTAGCCTCGTCATCATTCATCATTGGTAGCCCTTGCCATGGCCTGTGAGCGTCAGTCCTCTTAAGCCATTCCCATCTCACTCTGAGCGCAATTGCTTGCCACTTCAAGTTCTTGATTACTAAACCGCCGAAAGCTTTGGGCCGACAAATTATATCCCATGCCACAAGACATTGCCCTCCGTTGCACTTATCCTTTCCAGCCCAGAAGAAGGATCTCATCCACTTGTTCATATCTTCTCGAACCCACTCCGGTGCCTCCATAATCATTAGGTGGTGCACTGGCCGAGCCGCAACTACTGACTGCACCAGAATTAGATGCCCGGGTCTCTGAATAAGCCCTCTTTGCCAACCTGGCAAGCAATGCCTCACCTTGTCCAACATGGGCTGCCACTCAACACGCGTTAGGCTCTTGATGGCAAGTTGTAGCCCAAGATATCTACAAGGGAACTCTCATATATTGCACTGGAGCATGTCCGCAACTCTGATCTTGGCTTCCTTACTACCCCTTATGATTACTGTTGTTGACTTGCGGTAGTTTGACCTTGAGTCCTGAAGCTTCTCCGAACGTTGTCAGGATTGCTCGAACCGCCGCCAAATCTTGCGTTGAAGGCTTTGTGAACATGGCCACGTCGTCCGCGTATATGGACACACTTTGCATCGGAGTGATCCCGGTGAAAGCAGTAAGAGCACCTATGGAAGCCCTCTCAGCCCTTATGCACAAGGACAAGCTGACCTGAAAGTAGACCATGCCTCAGCTGCCACTGAATGGGGCCATCTCACCACTGCACCAATTGAGAGTTTGCAAGTAGCATAGACATGGTCATTCTCAATACATCATCACCAGATTATATTCCACTCGGAATTCACATTATTCTCCTTATATCTCATAGTCAGAAACACCACCATCATGAACATACCTTTGCTTTCCAGTGCATCCAAAGGTAGTAGTAAAGAAAATATTCAGGACCCATGCATTTTATTTAAGAACTTAAGACGAGGGGATACCAAAAATGAGTTGATTAATCGCTATGGATTTGGAATCCATATTAGCTTGATGGTGTAGCCTAAAATCAACAATAAATGAATTTTGTCTCGGTATGCCAAAGGTTTCAGACTTTCAATACAGTTAACTTTCAAGAATGGTGACATTGGTATCCTCAGGCAAAAGAGCATTTGCAACCCCTGACTGGCCTGTACACTTGTGGTCACATGCTTCTATGTGTGATTTGAATCTGTAAGTTACATCTACTCCTGTAAATATTAGTGAGTGAACTCCGTGTGTTATGTACGTAGCTACTCATATATTACATGAAAGCTAATCCAATTCCTGGAAGGCAAAGAATCAGTAGGTTCTCCAGCAACTCGCTCATCCTGATGTCTTCTACGGAAGCTGCTGAAGGCAACCAACAAGGTACAAATTTGCACATGACATGCTTGCTCAGCTTGATCTTTGGCCCAGAAAAGTTGATCTTCGCTTTCAAAATTATATCAGCTGCTGGAGAAGGTGTCTATATGCTTTTAGATGTCTACCCTGTCTTCTTGGAATGCTTTGTATATGAAATCTTTAAAGCGCCTGGAGTACTGTCTTGGATCTACCGCTGAAATGGATGTCGAGTCATGTTGGAAAGATTTGTATGCATGCTCAATCTTTTTGCCTATATCGTAGTCTTGAAGTATGTCTATTATTCCAAAATACAATATAACATCACAGTATTCCCCAGTTGGCTCTCCAATAACATCACTGTCGTTCTTTCGGACTGTCAGTTCAGCTCTTGACAGCATATTCGCCCCCAGTTTAATCTTACACCACCTGTCCAACCAAATAATATCAATTATGTTTATTGTTACAAGAGCTAAAGATATTAAAATACCTTCATCAGATACATCTTCCAGGGGGAAATGGCATCAGGACAATCCTAAACATAAGGTGATAGCCTAAACTGATCTTTCATTAGGTTTGACAAATTGTTTAGTACCACTAGTACTCAAAAGTGTGAACTAAGCATGTGAATCCACGGTAAATCTGGTGAATATGAAAACATGTACAAGATAGGAAGGTTCTAAACAAAAAAATGTTTAATACTAGGTAACAATGGGGACCATATGACTGGATTGACACACTGGAGAATTTTACACCATCAGAAACTATATGTGGTATACGCATTAACCTTAGAAATATCATTACCAAGAAAAGACACAATAGGAAATATTACTAAATGAACCTCAAATACTTTCTAGTCAGAAGAATGAACATCCTGGCTATAGAAATTAATGTCAATTTTGTCGTTTAAAATAGATGGATACCTAAAACCTTTCCATGTCAAAATTTGTACCACAATGAAGCTGAAACATGAATCATCTCAATGGTGAGCTGGCTCAAGAACTACATACTTACCAGCTACATTATTTAGAAAGAGCAAAAGCAATTATAACTAGGACTGTAGTATTAGGCAAGAGAACATAATTTAGTGTCTATTTACCTGTTTGGATCAGAAAGAAAGTGATTCCTGTCCCATCTTGAAACGCGGGGTGTGGCAGGTTTGTCACCATCGATGTCAATGGCACCTTTAACCAAAGTAAAGAATCAAGTCAGCATTTTGTATTTTTACAAAGTGCCTTAAGTATCTCTCTCTTACCTCTAAAATGTACACCCACCAAGAGACTGTAATCCATAATCTTCTCCTGCTCCAGAAACTCACAGTCTTTGTCCACTTGCCTGCTTCAAAGTATGTAAGAACTAGATTAGTACATAGGGTTCCAATATCATTGGTTAGCATTTGGTACCTAGGTCATTCACAAAACACAATACAAAAATTAGGCATAAAATGTTCGCACCTTCGGAACTCTTCAAACCATTGTTTTTGCAACCGAAAGATAAAATTAAGATCAAGATCTTTCAGAGTTGTATACTCATCAATCTCTGCCTGTGGCTTGTCAGTAGTCCGGCCAAGAGATGATCCTTTCAGATCAAATCTCCTATGAATAGTGTGATCGGAGCAGAACAGGTTCCCCATTATGACAAAACGAACCTGGGTGGTAGTACAGCATCAAGCAGACCGTCAGGATTGATATTATACTTGACAACAGTAGATTCATAAATAGGAGTAATTACAGCGTGAGGACAGAATGAAAACCCTTATATAGGTGCTATTTTGGCATTTCACTCTTTCTTCTAATACAAATGGTGCACATTTTGTGTGTGTTTGCGCAAAAAAAAAACAAGTATATACTTTCTAACCTTCTTCTGGTTTGCTCCAGCCAACTTCACACAGTGTAGACCAAAAAACTTTGCCACTAGGGTATTCTCAAATGCACGGACATGATTGTAATAAGCATGAAGCATCTTCAGAAGCATCTGTAAGGTAACAAATAATCCATAAGTTCAGAACAAAATTTAACATTCAGGCGAAGACAGAAAAGGAGGACAAACCTTTACTTCAGATTTCTTCATTGTCTTTATCATGTATCGATCATCGTTTGTCAAGTAAAAGAAGCTTCCACTCTTACCAGGGGACGAGAGCTCACGTAGAGCATCATCTCCGCACAGAGATAGCATATAGTCAGCTGGATCGACCTTGAACAGCTTGCGCAATGTCCTGTGAATTAGTTCAGAACAAATGTGTGCATATGTTGATGAGTACAATACCATAATATGGTCATAAGATAGGAAAATCTTTATCTTGGGATTGATGACCAACCGGAACACCTTTGGGCAGTAATCTTTCCATTTGAAATCGCTAGAATTGTGTGGAGGGGTATATTTCGAGCCTTCTGGGGGGAATTTTGTCCATACCTTTTCCTTTGGGTCAAAAGCTGATGATTTCAGATCTAGTATAACCTGACCTTGCCTTCCTACTGCATGCCTATCCCCAAGATAGCATATTCAGATATTAAGAAATTGTAACATATAAGTTCACAAAGACATTCATCAAACGTATGAAAATAAATTCTCTCTCCAAAAAAAGAACTTGGAATTCATCGAGTTTATACTACAAAAATTACATATACAAGACTTGAAAATAAAAAATAAATCCTGATTTCTAAGTAAATTGGGTAATGTAAGAAAATATACATGCTACTGCGTGTGGCCTAACAGCCCCTGGGGTAACAACAAGTACCATTTTCTGATCTATTCAATACTCGCCAGTTAAAAGGAGACATTTTCAAATGTGCATGGTCCATTTTTTTATGGACACCAAGTTTGTAATAGTTCATTGGTAATCCTTATAAGCATCATTTTTCGTTCAAGAAGAAACAAAATTAATTTTTATATCTTCAAAAAGTGCAAGACTTCTTGGGTTTATGGAATACAGACTACAGTTGTTATAGGCCGAGAAAATAGGATCTCGCTCCCGTGTCGCTCCTGGGCGGCACCGGGGCGTCCCCATCCTCGCCGCCGGTCTTCCCTCGTCTTCCACTCCTTGCCGCCACCGCTGCCGGCGAGCGCGGTGGCGGCAGGGCCTGCTCCTTCTAGCTCGCAGGCACGTGAGCATTGAGTCTGCACATCAAAGCTATGAATTGCTGCACCGCCTTACCCACACCGAGCGGCCCTAGCAGCGGCCGCCGCGCAAGCTCGTACTGGCGCGCAGGTTGTCTGCGGCAGCTGGGCCGGGCTCGACGGGGTAGTCCCTTGGCTTGACTGCCATGGCCGGCGTGGATCTGGAGCCTCTGATCTAGCCTGGCGACGCCATATCCAGCCATCTCCTTCTCTGGTTGGGCGACAATCCTGCTCCTCCAAATTGTGGTGTGGCATCAGGGAATCCAATGAGGTGTTGTGCATGGAGGCCCTGCTGGTCCTTGTGGTGGACTCCGTCCTTCACGAAGATCTATCGGTCGGGAGGCATGGCGCTGATTTGCAGCTGTGTGCTCTTGATCTTGCGGTGGCTACTTGACGGGTATGAGCTGAGCTCTCTCCGGGCGAAGTGATAATCAGCGATGGGTGCTTCATTGTACTTTCTCTGTTTTAAAATAGATGATCCAATTTTATACTTAGGTCCGGTTTGGTTCATAAGTTTTAGGACTTTTTTTAGTCTTAATTTATAAGTCCCAAGTCCCTAAAAAGTTCCTATCTGTTTGGTTCATGGGACTTATAAGTCTTTATAAGACCATATTTTATACTAAAGTTAGTATAATGTTGAGTCATCTATTTTGAAACGAAGGAAGTAGGTGGTTGGTCCTGGTGACAACTCCAGCCTGAGATGGTAGCCTCGACGCAGATTGTGGTGATTATCGAAAGGTCTTCATGAGAATTCCTCTCTTCATACCAGGTGGTTGACTTCAGTTGTGAGATGCAAACTATCGACAATGACTTGACACACAGAGATGGTTGTACAGCGGCGGCGAACGCACATGTAGCTGGGGTCACGAGAAAGTGGTGGTGACAACACATAAGGGACGTCGATGGCGGTGCCACTCGAGCACCCAGGCTCGAGCTCCGGGGTGAAAACCTAAGTCTGACCCGAGTTGGTTAAACCTGGCAATGGCGATATTTTTATGTCGCTATCTTGTTGAAGGCATTGCTCGGATATGCTTAGACTGTTTCTTCAGGGTGAAAACTTGGATCTGACCTTGGATGTTTGGATCCGATGACGGCGACGATGAGCGTCGTTCCCTTCTTGAAGGCGTTGCTGTTGAAGAACCTCGTCGTTCGTTTGGTGTCATGAGATGGTTGGTGCGAATATGATCATTGTTGTAGTTTTTCGATCATGGATCTAATAGCTTTGTCATCTTTCCTCGTCTACACATAGCTTTGGTCTCATATGACTTTGCTCTTTTGCCGGCGTTTTATTTGTGTGTGTATTCATATTGGTTGTGTGCATCCTAACTATGCAGAGACCGAATATGGGTTTATTGTGTTTATATCCTCTTGATGCTCATTTTGACCCAATAAAATACATCCTTTATCGAAAAAATTGATATCTGTTTGATATTTTGTGCTTTCAATGTATGTATGAAAAGGAAAAAAATAGGCTTACATTACTTGCTATGAACATTATAATGTGCATGTATATGCTTCAGTTCTCTCCAATAGAATGGAACATTGTTGGTGTTCATGTTTAGCAAAAACATAATAAACAGTTAAACGAGCAATCTCAATGCAGATCCTCTGACAATTCTCTATAACACTAGGCTCCTTAATTTTGAAGAGCCCACATTTAATTAAGGTCTTCAATTAAGATTGGATTATTTGATTTTGATTGGGTCAACAATTTTTCAAAACTCTCCCATTCAATTCTTTTATACTATACATTATGATCCTTGATTTTTAACGCCTCACAATTAATTGATGTTTACAATTTAGAATTGGTTCAGCTCGATTTTGACTAGATCAACGATATTAAGCTCACTAATTTTTAAGGCCTCATAATCAATTAAAGTCTTCAATTAAAATCCCCTAAAAAAGGTCTTCAATTAAAATTGTGTCACCCTATTTTGACTGGGTCAACGATTTCTCAAAGTTCTTCCATTCAATTCTTTTTATATATCATCTATAACACTAAGCTTTCTATTTTTAAAGAGCCCATGTTCAATTGAGGTCTCTAATTAGAATTGGGTCACCCAATTTTAACGGGGTCAACAATTTCTCAAAGTTCGCCCATTCAATTCTTTTTATATATCCTCTATAACACTAAGCTTCCTAGTTTTAAAGAGCTCACGTTCAATCGAGATCTCTAATTAGAATTGGGTCACCCGATTTTGACCGGGTCAACAATTTCTCGAAGCTCCATCATTTAATTTTTTTTATACCACACACTATATTTTCTAATTTTTAATGCCTCACAATTAACTAAGGTATTCAATTTAGAATTGGGTCATCCCATTTCAACCGGGTCAACAATTCCTTAAGCTCTCATTTTTAATTCTATTAATTCATTATGTACACAAAATTTGAAGATCTTTCATTCAATTGGGGTATTCAATTTTAGTTTGGTTTACTATTTTTACTGGGCCAATAATTTTTTAAATTAATCAGCAACAACCGAACTATAAAAACATATCGATCCCGCGCACTCTCCCATCATCTAGAAAAAAAGAAGTGCCACCATATGATATTCTAGCATCAATATAGTAGATGCAACCAACAACACATAAATTTTCCTACATAAATATAGGTTGGTTAGGGGATAACACATAATCACAACACGAAAGGCCCATCAAAACACCGTATTATAAATAAAAATAAAACACACTCTATCAACTCCCCCGCCCGCCAAACTAAATATTCCATCAGTTATAAAATATAAGGGGTATTAGTTTTCTAGAAAATCAAGTTTCTTTAACTTTGACCAACTTTAGAGCAATAATATCGACATTCACAGTATTAAACAAAAAAGTATGGAATTTCATTTCATAACTAAGGCCCTGTTTGATAGCAAAGTATTTTTAAAGTTTTCTAAAATACTACAGTTTTAATTATCATGAGGTGTTTGGCTACCCAGAAAAACTGCGGTATTAATGTTGCGTTATTCTCAAAACCGTAGGATTTTCTGTGTCTAATAAAAAGAACCTCAGACCTCTTTTTTTAAAACAGAGCACGCAAAAGAAACGGCTGTTGTTATCTTCTTCCACGGTGCAAGCGGCCACGGATAAATCAAGAGACAACAAAGGAAAAATAACAGTGAATACGCTGATCTTCATCCTCCCGCCTCTTGCCGCAGGCTGCCTGTTTTCACCTACAGGGCTACAATAGAAGCTAGCACGAGGGACTAATCCAGTTCAGCACGCATGATTTAGCCACAAGTGCACTTATGCATGCAGGGGTAGCACCCCATGGGCTACCTACGTGATACGTACCTTGCCGTAGACTATGCCCGTGGACACCGTGCCGCTCCGTGGCTGGCATGACGACGAATGCCAATGTTGGCACCCTGAAGCCACGGAACGCAGTTATGATGGAGGGGCTGCAGTATGCAGAGAAGCACCGGCGCGTGGCGGGACGACAATGCACGAGGAGTCACTATTGGAGACGGCTCGCAGCAAGCTGTAGACACGACGGTGCACCACCATGACTCAACGGTGACACAGCAGAAGGCCAAACAGTCTCGTTGTGTGTCGTCGGCTATGTCGTGTTGCGGAACGTTCTCCATGGTAAGCTACAAGCCTTGTGTATGGCCATGCAGCACCGTTCAATTTACAGTTTTTCTAGAACTCATCTAGATGAGATATAATTTGGTCTCATTCACCTTTTATAACCATTGGATGTGATGCTATAAGATGCGTGTGTACTGACGTGGGTTGTATCTATTCTTATTTTCAAAATGAATGAGACCAAATTATATCTCGTCTAGATGAGTTTTAGATACTTCCTTCAATTTATGCATGCAACGTCTAGCTAGGCGCTAACTTAAAACCCATTTTACAACGCTGCATACGGCACTGCCAAACAAGTCGCTGTATTATCAATACTCTAAAATAGTTTGATATGCCAATACTGTGGTATCTTATGCCAACAGGATAAAATACTGCGGTTTTTGAATACTTTGGTTATTGCAGTACTTTGTTATCAAACACAGCCTAATCCAAAAATACCGATTTGATATTATGGATTCGGATATATTTCTCTACAAATTTGAAAAACATAAAAGGTTTGATATTTTTTTTAAAGTAACACACCTTATATTTTGAAACAGTGTGATTTTTTTAAGAAACACAACAACACGAACTGCGCAGCAAAGCGCGCATAACCCTTCTAGTCCATGGCGATGTCTAATTGAAATTCCAAATCTCTCTCTCTCAAAAAAAAACACCTCCACCAGTTTCTGAAATTCACAGAAGATCAGAATTCAAGGTGTACTAATCAGGGGAAAGAAATGCACCTGATGCCCAGCTGCAAGTTGAGCATGAGCTCGTAGAACTTGTGCCCCTTGGCAATGGTCTCCCCCTGCCGCTTCGACACCCGCAGTGGTGCACCCTTGGCTACTTGTGGCGCTGGCGCCGGCGAAGTGAGAGGCAGCAGTCCCCTACCCTCCCTCGTACTGTTACGACGCTTCCAGTCGTCAGCAAGCTCGCACTTGACGTCTCCATCTGAACCCCAATTACTCCCACCCGAAAGATTGCTCCGGCCCGACGACGAGCTCCCGCGCCCACTGACCGACCGCGCCAGCCATTTTAGAGACCTCAGCGACGGTAGCGCCGACTGGCTTTCCGTGCCAGAGCGCACACACTCCGGCAGCTCCCTCGCGAACACCTCCCTCGGGTCGCGCGTCCTCGTCTCGCCTGCCGCCCCCGGGGATGGGTAGTACACGCCCTTCTGGTGCAGGGCGCCGCCGGGGGCCTCCCGGCCCCAGAACCCGACGTACAGGCTGCCGTCCGACCACCGGAACGTGCCCTGTCCGCGCGGCCGGCCGCCCTCCCAGCCGCCATCGTAGCGGTTGCCGTTCGCCCAGACCAGGGCGCCGCGGCCGTGGATGAGCCCCGCGCGCCAGCCGCCGGCGTACTCGGTGCCATCGCGCCAGGTGTAGCGGCCACACCCGTCCGGAAGCCCCGCCCGCCACTCGCCGTCGTAGCAGTCGCCGTTGGCGTATCGCTTCTCGCCGGCGCCGTGCTCGAGGTTCTTGGCCCACGCGCCGCGGTAGCTGTCCCCCGCGGCGCCCACGTAGGTTCCCGCGCCGTGCATGAACCCGTCCAAGAACTCGCCCTCGTAGGTGGCTCCCGACGGCCAAGAGAACCTCCCGCGTCCGGTGGCCTTGCCGCGGCGCCACTCACCCTCGTACATGCAGCCATCCACCCACAGGTACTTGCCGTCGCCGTGTGGCACGCCCCCGCGCCACTGGCCCAGGTAGAGATCTCCGTTGGAGAGCGCCCGCTCCGAGCGCTGCTGGTCCTGCGGCTCGCTGGTGTCGGAGCTGCTGCACGAGGGTGCCGCGTCGGGGTCTTCGCCGGGGGGCGGCATCGGTGACACGCGGCACGCGCACGGTCGTCTCCCGCGCCCTGGCCGGGCGCGCTCGTGCATTGGTCGTCTCGCTGCGCAGGTTCAAGGGCTCCCGGCTGCGGCGTGGATCGTGCAAGGATCTAGCAGCGCCGGCGGGCGCGCGCGCGCGCGCGCCGCGGCGGCATTGCCGAAGGAGTCGTTGGGAGGAGAGAGAAGGTGGCCGGAGAGAAATTTTTAGACCGTCCAAAGCGGAATGGGGGCCTGAGAGGGGTGGAGGAGGAGAGGGACGTCACGTGGGACGTGCAAGGAGGTGCTGTCTTATTCGATTTTTTTTATTAAAATATACTCGAAATATTTTTACAGATGGTATAAACGCTCTTATATTATGAGACGTAACGAGTAGGAACCAGTGATTTTTTTAAAAGATATACATTCTCAAGCATACTACTTGTATTCATTCTAGCATATAATGTGGTTGGGCAACTCGTTTCCTTGCAAACCCCAGGTGTCATGTGTTTTCTACCCTTGGATTCTGCAATCTGATCGTTGACTTCGTGTGTGTCGTTGTATGTTTGCTGGTAGCTACGGTGCTTGTTTTGACCGCGTGGTAGTTTTGCATGGCCCAATGTCCGGTGGGCTCTTGCAGCATCTGTCATGGCTGGGTCAGCCCTTTTAAGGTGCGAGTGCACCCACTCCCTGCGTGACGCGTGGTTTGCGGAAGCATCAGGCAAGTCGTGGCCTGGAAAGCCCCTCGCCTTGCACGCTGCACCCCTTCCTCCCTCCTCGGCAAAGCGTCAAACTCTAGCCCCCAACCCTTCTCATCTAGAGCCCGCGCCCCCTCAGCCTTCTCTCCTCCCACTCCTTCCTCTCCTCTCCCACTCCGCCGCCTTCCCTCTCCCTGCTCGTCGCCTCCATCATTACCTTGACGCCCATGCCCTCGTCCTCTCTCACTGGAGACAGGGACGTGCGGAGGATAAGCATCCCCGGCGGCAGGGGCTGGAGCCATGAGCTCGCAGAGGCAGCAGAAGGACGAACAGCGGTGGGCCGACCTTCGCTGCCTCCATCCCTGGCTCAACTTCCTTGCGCATCAATCGGTTGGACGCCAGCTGGAGCCTTCTCCCTCTGTTCATTGTTCTAGTTCTGGTCTAATCTGCAGGTTTGGACCTACAGGTACTAAGGTACATCTCTCTCTCTCTCTCTCTCTGGGGTGGACTGAATGTTGGTGGCTCGTAGGGTAGGAGATGGGACCGATGATGTTGGCGTCCAGATCTGGAGGCTTAGCTAATGCAGCCGGTGGAATGCTCCTCCACGGCTTGCAGCTCGAGGAAACTTGCCAAGAGCCATGGCTGGTTGAGAAGAGGAAGGGAGGTAGAGGAACGATAGGGAAGAGGATGGTCAGGAGCTTTATGCCAAGATTTTGTGCCCCAACTGGCCAACTCTCCCGTGACTGGTGGTGGAGAGCCATGGCTGGCTGAGAGGAGGAAGGATGTAGAGATGGGAGTAGCTTCCCTTGTGTCGTCTCTGACCACATTTTCGCCCAAGGTTGCAGCGGCCGTAGTAGGTGGGAAGGAGCTGATGACCCTTGACTAGCCATGACCCTGCATTAGGCGAGGAAAAATGCTTTGTTATTTCTTATCCTTGGTGATTGATGACACACAAGTATAGATGATCAATTGTAGCTCTTTTCGATAAGTAAGAGTGTCGAACCCAACGAGGAGCCGAAGGAAATGACAAGTGGTTTTCAGCAAGGTAATGTCTGCAAGTGCTGAAATTATAAGTAATAGAGTAGTTTAATAGCAAGATATGTTATAACGAGCAAGTAATGATAATAGTAACGAAAGTGTAGCAAGGTAGTCCTATCCTTTTGAGGAAAAGGACATGCCAAAATGGTCTCTTATAATAAGCAAAGCGTTCTTGAGGGTACACGGGAAGTTTATCTAGTCACTTTCATCATGTTGATTCGATTCGTGATCGCTACTTTGATAATTTGATATGTGGGTGGACCGGTGCTTAGGTGTTGTTCTTACTTGAACAAACCTCATACTTATGATTAACCCCCTCGCAAGCATCCACAACTACGAGAAAAGTATTAAGAATAAATCCTAATCATAGCATTAAACTTTTGGATCCAATCGGTCCCTTACGGAATAGCGCATAAACTAGGGTTTAAGCTTCTGTCACTCTCGCAACCCATCATCTAATAACTACTCCACAATGCATTCCCTTAGACCCAAATATGATGAAGTTTCATGTAGTCGACGTTCACATGACACCACTAAGGGAATCACAACATACATACTATCAAAATATTGAACACATATCAAGTTCACATGATTACTTGCAACATGATTTCTCTCGTGACCTCAAGAACAAAACTAACTACTCACAAGTGATAAATATGCTCAAGATCAGAGGGGTATTCAATGGCATAATGGATCTGAACATATAATATTCCACCAAATAAACCATATAGTAATCAACTACAAGATGTAATCAACACTACTAGTCACCCACAAGCACCAATCTATAGTTCTGGTAACAAGATTGAACACAAGATATGAACTAGGGTTTGAGATGAGATGGTGTTGTTGAAGATGTTGATGGATATTTCCCTCCCCAAGATGGGAGAGTTGTGGGTGATGATACTGATTTCCCCCTCCGGGAGGGAAGTTTCCCTGGTGGAATCACTCGGCCGGAGGGCAAAAGTGCTCCTGCCCAAGTTCCACCTCGAGACGACGGCGCTCCATCTCGGAAGTCCTCTTCTTATTTTTTTTCTAGGTCAAAATGACTTATATACCAAAAGATGGGAACTGGAGGTGGGCCTGGGTGAGCGCAGCCCACCAGGGCGCGCATGGGCTCCCTGGCGCGCCCAGGTGGGTTGTGCCCACCTGGTGGGCCCCCTCTGGTAATTATTTGCTCCAATGTTCTTCATATATTCCATAAAAATTCTCCGTAAAGTTTCAACTTGTTTGGAGTTGTGCAGAATAGGTAGCCCGACGTAGCTTTTCCAGGTCCAGATTTCCAACTGCCGAAATTCTCCCTCTTTGTGTGTACCTTGCAAATTATGAGAGAAAAAGCATTAGAGTTACTCCAAAAAGCATTATTATGCATAAATAACAGTAGGAAAAAATGATGCAAAATGGACGTATCAACTCCCCCAAGCTTAGACCACGCTTGTCCTCAAGTGAAAACCGAAATCGAAAAACATGTCCACAAGCTTAGAGAGAGAGAGAGAGGTGTCGATAAAAACAAAATACGGACATAGGAGCATCATGTTGATTATTATAACTGCAAAAAACTTAAACATAAGACTTTTATCATAGAACTTCTATCATAAACTTTTCATAAATAAGTGACAATTCATGACACCATCGAAGTATGAAGCATACACTCTATTAGAGACAAACAAACTATGTTCTCAGTCAACTTTGCAACTACAATTCATCATCTTTTCAGGAAGGGTCACGTATAGGAGCCTTTAGGCAAGTCCACATACTCAACCATCATTTAGTCTTCTATGATTGCTAACACTCATCGCATACACATGAGCAAAACGTTTCAACCAGACACATAAAAAGATAGGGGCTTATAGTTTCGCCTCCCAACGAATTCACCTCAAGGGTGATGTCAACAATAATAACTCATGCTACCCATATTCAGCTAGACATATGTGCCTAGATCTTTCCTTACCACATGATGCTTGCCAAAGAAGAAAAATAAAAAGTAATAGAGAGAAAACTTTGACTCTTTGCATAAATGTAAATACATAAAAGTAAAAGACAGGCCCTTCGTAGAGGGAAGCAGAGGTTATCATGCGCTTATTTGTTTGTATGCTCAACCCCTCAGTGCAAAAGAAAGTCACATTGTATTTCCCCTTGTGATGACAACCTTTATTACGCAGTCTGTCGCTTTTATTCTTCACCATCACAAGTTCGTACTACACTCAATTTTCTCTTACACCACTGGACTCAGGATCTTTGCCGTCGGCCAGCTCTTTGCCGTCTTCTAGCTGACGGCAAAGAAGGTCTTTGCCATCAGCTTAAAAAAAGCTAACGACAAAGAAAAAGTTGACGGCAAAGACCATGTTTGCCGTCAGCCAGTTCTTTGCCGTCTGCTAGCAGACGACATAGAAGCTTTGTCGTCTGCTAGTAGATGGCAAAGAGGGAGGGTGGCCCACTAACGAGAACCACCTAACAGCCACTTTCTTTGCCGTCTGCTAGCAGATGGCAAAGCTTCTTTGCCATCCGCGAGCAGACAGTAAAGAGAATAGCCAACCTAACGCATATTTCCCCCTGGCCCCACCCCACTAGCTACACTCTTTGTCGTCTGCTAGTAGACGACAAAGAAATTAAACCTAACTAAAAATGGTTGGCCCCGCGCCCCACCCCCTCTCTCTCCCTCACCTCACCCGTTCCGCCCCCGTGCCCACTGGCCCAGCCGTCCTCGACCCCCACCGACCCCGCCGCCCCCGCCAACACCACCCCCGACG